GGGCTGTTCCAGTGCCCACTTTCGACTGTATTCAGGGCACTAACCGGGCACCGGTCGGCGCGACGGCTAGCGACCTACGCATGGCGACCTTGTACAGTGACGACGGCGACTTTCGTAAAGTGATGACGGCGGCAGTCGCGACACCTGTGGTTGTCGCGGGCTATGGCTGCACTCTGGGGCCACCAAGAAAGAAAGAAGAGAAGTACCGCGACGAAATGCTGACAGTGTAATGTGGGACTCGAAAAAAATTGGAACTTATTTCCTCATTACGGACCGATGGTGCTGCGGCGGCCTACCCAGCGCTAATGTCAGACACAACTAGTCCTGCAGTTTTATTGGAGTAAAGAGCGGTATTGAAATGTGTTCCAAAGGTGGGACATTTCCTTTTGATTCATTATTACGACTCAAATTAAAACATCCTGCTCGTTTAATCCGGCGTGTGGTCAGCTATGTTGTGCATGAGTTAAAAAAGTCGCGTAACTGAGATCGAGACAAACGCACCAGACGCCAGCGCGCTGCGACACTGAGCTTAAAACAATTAGACGTCCACTTTCCTGTGTGAGGTGCCAGGTTTATGCGATGTGTTTCTGTTCGGCACTTGTTTCTATAACGTATTGGCTTCCGTCATGTAAATGAATATGTGTCAATAGCACAATCATGCGCCAAAGGCACCGTGAACAACGCATGCTGACCTTACTTCCTCACGTTTCTTTCTTAACGGACACCCTTATACGGGTCTCAATCGGTCATTCCACATGGACATTTGATGGAAAAAATACGTGCCATTACATTACTTATTACCGAAGATACCCCATTATGTTTTACTAGGCTATTTTGCTATGACTGTGAAGAACCAGTTTCCTATGATTAATTCTGTCATGTTAAATGAGCGACGACATCCAGCCAGCGTAATATTTCGCCGCATGTGATAAACGAGCACATGACGGCAACTCCGTCAGAGAACAAGTGAGGTACGCTTTCACTGTGAGCCCTGAATGTTTATGTTGATTGGTTGCTGACCTAGAGGTCTCGGCCACGTCTGAGCGCGAGCTAGCGCCGCCCGCAGCGTCCGCGGGACGCGAGCCGACCCGACACCCACAGAGGCCGTGTGCGGACGGCCGAGGCGGCGCTGGCCACGTGCGCCATCACGCCAGTATTGGACACGGCGTTATCATCCAGCTCGTTGCATAGCTTAACGCGCCTTCCTCTCAAATTATATATTCGTCCTCTGATTACACCGCGGCGCCGTGACGCATCAGGCGGCGACGGCCGTGCGGCGCCTGGCGCAGAACACAATCAGACGCACGCCACGGGACAGGGGCGAGCTGTCGGCCGGGACATGAGACAGCGCTCAGGACACTGTGTGGAGCCGTCAGCACGTCTCGAGCTCGCGGGCCGGACACGTGCTCTGCGGGGGCGCCGGCCGACCCCCGAGCCCAGCCGAAGCCCGGATAGACAGACGGACACGCGAGGGAGAGATCGGTGGAGAGGGACGAAGACAAGAACACGGAGCACGAAACAGAGCACACAGCGCGCGTCCTATGGCGGCAAACCGATGACACGTGACCCTCCGAGACCAGATTAAAACAGGGCTGCACGTGCGCCGAGGACAGGGGACATACACTGCGTCCCGGGCCGGTGGCACACACTGGACACGGTGCGCACGCCGCGGACCAGACGGACTCCTCACGCGGGCCCGGACGTCACACCCCGTTCACTCGCCCGACATCTCTGCCAGCGGCCAGGCCCGCCCCGAGCCCGGCGCGCTCGCCGTCCGCCCAGCAGACGCGGGTGGCGCGCCGACGCGGCCCGAGAGCGGCGCCACCTGGCCCGCCGCCCCCGGACCGACAGATGCCGCGGCGCCGACCGAGCCGGACACGGACGGCAGACGCACCCGACCTCGGGGTCACGGCCCGGCCGTGGAGCGCACGCAGTCACCGGCAACGTCTCTCACTCGGCTACAGTCACGCGACCACGGCGCGCCCGTCATCGATTTCGGTGTTACAGTTAAGCAGTCAAACCACTCGCCGATCGCCGACGCCACGCCGGCGGGCTGTACGTCCGCCGACCAATCACCGAATCACACGTCCCACATCGGCCAGCCCGGCTCGCAGGCTGCGGCAGCGCGCGGCAGGCCCGTCGCCGCGCCGCTCAGCCGCCTCAGTCTGATCCCAGCGGCCGGCGGCGGCCCGCGTGCCGCCAGCCCCACTCAGCCGACCGCGCTCCACCCGGCACACGGCGCTCGGGCGCACTCGCAGCCGGCCCCGCCGGCGCCACGCGCTGTACTTGATCGCTGCGGCCTGGCCGCTCGCACGCGCGCGCCATTTAATTTAACAGCCTCTACCTAATACGGGGAATCTGGGCCGGTGCGGCGTGGCGCGGTCACGCGCGCGCGCGTGTCCTGAGGCCTGGGAATCGACAGCGGCGCCGGCGCTGGTGCAGGGTGCCGTGCCCCTGGCGGCGGCCGCCGGAACCGCGGCCTGTCGCGAGCTGCCTGGTCGCCGCCTACTTGCGTTTGGTGGGGTTCTTGGGTGGCGTGACGGGCCGACTATTGCCCATGCCCGTGTACTGATACTTGGGCTTCTTCTCCGACGGCTTCAGGATCTGCCGCGTCACAGCCGGGCGTCAGGCTCACACCGACAGCGGGGTGTGGCAAGGGGTGGGGATGGGGGAGCATGAGCACAGGTTCACACCGGTACCGGGGCATGGCGGCGGAGGGGGGGGGGGGGGGCAGGAGCACAGGCTCACACAGGCACCCGGACATAGCGGAGGGGGAGGAGGACAGACTACGGAGAGCACCACAGACGGACGGGGGGGGGGGAGGGGGGTACGACTGCCGCCACTAAACAAAAACTCCCACGTCCATTCATTTGAGCGACGCAGGGCTGAAAGTGCCTGGCCGACGTATCTCCGACGGCATGCACTGCATCCTCCTCATCTAGTTCAGCAAACTATCAGGTATCTACAAAAAGCATCTCAAATAATTCGATTCACTTTTGATGAGATATACTTGGCTTTATCTGCATGAGATGACATGCAACGGAGCGTCAACATCAAAATATCAACTGAAAAAGATTGTTCGGCACGATGTCAAACCAATACAGCACGCTTAATGGCGGGAATCAGCCTATTAGAACAATGTTTTTACTTCGAAACGTTTCATCACAACGCCGCAGAATTAAATATGCATCCATTTGACAAGAACTACGTGTTGGAATACCGCATCAACGGAGCCAGGCATAGCCCTAAAGGCAGGAGCCATTTCACGTGAACAGCAATGATGCTGCAGCCCGACCTGTTCTGACCTACTCGATGATAATGATTTGGGGTTAAGAGCGTGCCCATTACAATGGTCATATGGCGCCCATTAACCTACTAGAAAGTGGCGCATGCCACCGAATATAGAGATAAGAACGTCAGAATAAGAACCACACGTTGCAGAAAACCACAGAATGTCTGAAGCCCCTCTCATGCTGCAAGCAATATTGATGCAATACAAATGTTAGTTCCCGGCCGAAACATTGAAGCACCTGGATGAGCTAAATCATTTGGACACCGAGCACAACCCACAAGGCTTCAGAGAGCCCGGCGACATCGTGACCTCCCGAAGGGCTGTCACCGGCTGTCCGGAGGGCCTCAGCCCGGTGACCATTTCATGCATTCCCCTCCACTGTCCCATCACCACCCTGGGAGCACCTCCCACCCGGGGAAGGGAGACGCCGGACGGACGGGAGTGGGCCGCCCACCTGGAAGGAGCACATGAGCGTCTCGTCCACAGACATCATGCCGCCGGCGTTGTCGAACTCGCCGCAGTAGTTGGGCGCCGAGAACAGCGTCACCAGCTGCCGCTTCGCGAAGAACTCGTAGCCGTCCTCCACCACCTGCGGGAGCGGACGCGGCATGGCTGAGGCGGCTGCTCACAGGCGCCTGACCGCCGGCAGGCGCGCCGTGCCGTGTCGTGACGCACGGCACGGTGCGGTGCGGCACGGCTCACCAGCGCCGGACGACGGGACCAGACGGGCACAGTAGCTCAGAGGACAGAAGCATCAGCGCACACCGATGTCAGACGTCACCAGTGGCGCCAGAGCAGAGTCACGTCACAACACGGTCGCGTCAGAACAGAAACACGGATGGTAGTGATGTCAGAGCACGGCAATATCAGAGGGCGGTGAGTACCAGAGGACAGAAATACATCATGAATGTGGAGGGATGCAGAGTAAAGGTGCATTCTAGAGCACCTTTCATGGTGCTCCAGAGAATAAAATGAATATTATATGCCCACATACATATATATATAATATATATATATATATATATATATATATATATATATATATCCGAGCACCGGCATACCCCTTCGCCATATTGGACCTCTGATACACAAAACCCCACAGCAACAGGTCTTCTAGATGATCACGCCGTTGACGGGGTCACAGGGGCATTGGTTATACACGAAGGTGACGTGGACGACTGTCCCTCCCCCCCCCCCCCCCTCACAAGATAGCATTCGCACAGCTTCGCACATTGGGTGGAACATGACGATGAGCATCTGGAAAGTCCAATATACGCGGCACGTATAGCTAGCCCTATTCGCATGAACATCGTCGCTTGCAATCATGACCACGTTTATACCCACACGGCGTTTGCGTCCATGACGCACGCCCATACACGTCACAACAGCGTAGATACCACAGGCACTACACAGTAGCCCTTATCATGTGCCTGCCAATGTCGCAGCAGGTAAACTACGCATTATCGGTTACTAGGCCTGATAGGCAGACACCTGCCGTTTCAGACCGTGAGGCAGCGCTCCATCCCACCCTGTAACCGCGCCACGGAGGCCGACCGGCCGCGCGGCCCCGACTCAGACTGACCTGGTGGGCGCGGCATATCAGGTCCAGGTCGTGTCGGTTCAGGAACTTTGAGACGACGTCGGCGCCGAACGTGAAGGACACGCCCCGGTCGTTCTCGCCCCAGCCTTGTACGTCCTTATCCGGGTCCGACCAGAGCAGGTCACACAGCAGACCTGGCGGGGGAAGACGTGTCAGCCAGTCGGGCACTGCGTGGACTCTGAACCGCGACCGACACGCCTCTAACCTGTGTCGGCACGCCTCTGACCTGTCTCGACCCATCTCCGACCTGTGTCGGCACGCCTCTGACCTGTGTCGGCACGCCTCTGACCTGTGTCGGCACGCCTCTGGCCTGCGTCGGCACGCTTCTGACCTGTGTCGGCACGCCTCTAATCTGTCAGGGGGCACGCCTCTGACCTGTGTCGGCACGCCTCTAATCTGTCAGGGGGCACGCCTCTGACCTGTGTCGGCACGCCTCTGACCTGTGTCGGCACGCCTCTAATCTGTCAGGGGGCACGCCTCTGACCTGTGTCGGCACGCCTCTGGCCTGTGTCGGCACGCCCCTGACCTGTGTCGGGGGCACGCCCCTGGTCTGCGTCGGCACGCCTCTGGCCTGCGTCGGCACGCTTCTGACCCGCGTCGGCACGCCTCTGACCTGTCCCAGGCACGCCTCTGACCTGTGTCGGGCACATCGGTGGGCCGCATGATGCGCCGGATCTGCTCCATGTTGTGTAGGTCGGGCGACAGGCCGCCGTGACAGCAGAAGATCTTCTCGTCAATGATGGCCGCGATCGGCAGACAATTAAAACAGTCGGTGAACGTCTTCCATAGCTTAATGTTGAAACGCCGCTTGCCTGCAATATACAACCGTCGTGCTAAAAAGTAGCATTAAGGTCACCCCACCTCTGAGGCGATCCTCCGAATGGACACGCCCGGGCAGGGTACTTGCTAACGGCGATAACGCCCGCTATCATCTACGTGTGTGACCGCTCCTTAAACCAAGATAACCGCGCTGAGACCAGTGAAGGACGATTCCGCACACTCGAAATCGCAACATGCCAAGTCTCGCCAGCAATCGAATCAATTTCGATCCGGACTGATCAAAATACCTGGTGGGCACGTCTGGGCTGGGTCACTCACGCTGAATCAAGAGCTATCGCAACCACAACAGATTGCAAACCAGGACCAAACACACCTATCACGTGTTCTTTGCCTTGCCAGCCCTCGTCATGCATGCCATACCCATAATTCCTGCCATAAATGTGATGGTCGCGTAACCGGCCAACTCACATTCGTCGTAGAAGCCGTAGATGCGGTTGATGCTGGCGCACTCGTGGTTGCCGCGCAGCAGGAAAAAGTTCTCCGGGTACTTGATCTTGTAGGCGAGCAGCAGGCAGATGGTCTCGAGCGACTGCTTGCCCCGGTCCACGTAGTCGCCGAGGAACAGGTAGTTGGCCTCGGGTGGGAAGCCGCCGTACTCGAACAGCCGCAGCAGGTCCGTGTACTGGCCGTGGATGTCACCTGGGACAGGCGCGGTCAGTCAGACCTGCGTACTGGCCGCAGGCGCCGCCTGAGGCGGGACGGGGCCGAGGCAGGGCAGTACACTGGCCGTCGCTGCCGCCTGGGCACGGGCCGGTCCTGGTCGCGGCCGCGTGTCAGTCAGGGGCTCGCTGGTGAGGCTTTAGGTCCAACGGCCGCACAAGCCAGGCAACTGAGCAGTGCCTGGCATGTACTGGAAGTGAGAGCAGGGAATAGAGGTGATATTCTGGAATGGTCAAGTATGACCCTACCCTCAGTTACTGACAATCAAATCATTACAGCCCACAAGTAGCAAGTCACCAGTCCAAGAGCCAGATGTCTGACAAAGGTTACTTTCTCTTTTTCACGCGTTTCCGACGCGCGCCGTCGCGCGAACTCATGGAACGTCGGCGACAGCGCCAGTGACCCGGCACTTACCGCAGATTTTGAGCGGCGCCTCCAGCTCCAGCAGAATGGGCTGCTGCAGGAAGATCTCTCTGGACTTGAGGCAGAGGCTGCGCACCTCCATCTCCGACATCTGCACAGACTTCCCAGGTCGACATCCTCGCACTGCGGCACAAGGCGTCACGTCACCACAAATGGAAGAAAAGGCCCTGCTCTCTGGATATGCAAACACGTTGAATGTCAGTCATGCCTAGTGTCAAGATTAAGGTGCATTTTATCTGACAAGCCAGTGCGCTATGATCCTAGTGGTGCAGTAAAAGTAATGTAAATAGGGACTTTATACCTGTTGATAAATAATGGCAGTTGTTGATGACAATGATTGGAGTTTGAGGGCACTCCCAATACCAAGGTCATTTTGTGCCCATGAAGAAAATCTGTGGTCAATCTTCAGCCTTTAAACATTTTTAAGCACATGTTTGTGAATATGCCCATGAATATGCTGTTCAGCTGAACTGTATGCTAAAAAAATACTTATCTGGTAATACATTACTGAGACATTCCCACACTCTGAGATCAATAATCAAGATCATTTGAATGTCATCAAGATAATGAGGTCATCATCAAGATCATAAGCCTCTTGCACTTTTCCAATGTATCACAATATATCACTATTTGTGTTCCTGGCAGGACAGGGACCAGTCTCATGCTACATGGGACAGGGCCCAGTCTCACGCTACAATGTCGCAACATGCATATTATTTTAATCTAAGCCATGTCACACTTACCACAGGCCAGAGCATAAATAGAAGCAAGGTCCTTACTAAACATGGCTGGCTCCACAGACACTAGATACTGTCAATGTGATGCATACTACAGCATAATTGTCCCAGCCTGGCTGCAACAATTCTCAGTGTGTATGTTGACAGCATGGATGGTTGACAACATGCTGGTCCTACCAATGACACAGTAATCCATCAAAAGTTATATGAAATACCTACTTGCCAGGTAACATGAATTACTTTCTTCAGGTAGGTAAGCCAGTGGTGACTGTTCATTACCTCTCCATTGTCTAATTTTATCTCATTTCTAGCCTGCACTACAAAAATAAATAACCATAGCTGGCTTCCCATCCAGCATTTGGCTGGCTTAGCCACTGGCTATGACTGATATGAATACAATACAATACTAGTCAAGAGAACTCATCTACCACATCCAACAATTCTCCCTCTGAGTTGACGAATGGTGCTGCACAAAACAATTTGCTATGGACAAAGATGAGAGCTTTAAAGATGCTGCCCCTTTTTCCATTACAGCTGATGTCACCCAAACCAAACAGTGTAAGACCATCTGTCTCTGGGGCCTCCAATGGAGATACATCACCACCAATGCTGCTCTCACCACCAGCTTGTCAACCATCTGGTAATGCAGTAGGCTTGGCTTCAGTGCATTCATAGAGTGGCCAGCAAACACTGGTTTACACAGCCATGCAGGTACTGTTCCCTGACACCCCCAGGAAAGACCTGTGATTGCACCAGAACCTGCGCCCTACTGAGAGCTTATCACACAAGCCTGTGGTTGGAGCACTGTTGCCCACTGTGCATCTCCCATGGCCAATCTGAGGCCCTTAGACATTTGAAGACCCTCATTCCATCTGATTTCAGGTGGTGTCAGTGATGGTGAGAGGGCAGCTTTGGACTGGCTTCAACACTGCTGTCTATGGCAGTAGTGAATGATTTAGAGGATGCTGTCATTTACCAACTGGGACACAACATTGCAAGATCTGGTAGATGAGTCCTCATTGTTGGTATTTAGGCTCCTTCAGATCAATGCTAGCTGGTCGCTAAGCAATGTGGTTGATCAATGGGAAGCCAACACCAGCCTAAATTGAAGTGATTTTGAGATGTATACAAAAGTTTATTATTACACTGAAGAGATGGGAATGTCAATGATTGAGATCTAAGCAGGCAGCATAGATGGTGAAAAAATCAGCTGCTGTGGTTTCTGGAAGAGGTCAAACCACACTGGTAGAAAATCAGCACTTTTAATAACAATGTACTTGGCATACTTAATGTTTAATGGCATACAACATGTTCATTATAATTTACTGATGAAGTAAAAACAAAACATAAAGATGTGTTACACACCTGTAACTTCATTTGACATGGTTAAACATGCTCTTTTCTTTTGACTAAGATTGGAGGAGAGATCAAATGTGCTTGCATACCCTTTGTACACATACCACTGAGCCACATTTTTTAAGGGGTTTGTTCGATACCCATCTTGATAAAGTAAGAATGCTTTCATTTTAAGTACTGCTGGCTCACCCCCCACACAAAAATGGCATCCCCTTATGAGTGCCACATCTGTTGTATTTCTACATGTTGTTTTCTATTGCTATATTTTGTTATTCAATATTTTGATTAAGAAATGTATGATCAGCAAGACAAGAGATAGGTAACAGTTTTGCTTTGAGTATGTAAGTCAATGTAACTATGCATTTTCTATGATGCATTGCCCACTACAGGCAAAAAAGCCTGCATAATGTGATGGTTAAATAGCTGGTGCAATTACCAAAAATGACAATGTTGTGTCAAAACTGACCAAAATTTGGACTACATTGCTTTCCATTCCCAAGTATCCAGTGTCATCTTCTTGCCCCAGGACCATGGGGAAGGGATATGACAACCTTGGCCTTAAACCCTCGGTGACGTCCCTGTGTATGACCTGAGGGCACACCACTGATATTTTTTATTGTCTGATGATGATTGGAGTTTAGGGTGCCCCAAATTCAGAGGATGTTTTGCACACATAACTCTCCATCTACTCTCTGTTGCTGTTTGAGGGGGCAGGGGGCACAGCCTGTAGGCTGTTGTGACATGCGAGGTCCTTGGAATACAGGAAACTGCTTGTCACCTAATGTGGGTTCAGGGCGGTGTGTGAAGAATCCCAAAATAGTAGATCCAAAAATTTCAAATTTACACACCTAACTGAATGTTCTAACAGTAAACACCCCAAAAGCATTCCGCGACGCAAAGTAGGCGGAAGCAGCGCACAATCCAAATCGCGCGTCTGACTCTTCACAAAACAGAAATATTTGACGAGTCATCGGGGAAATACAAGAGTAATATATGGATATCATCTCACCTTCCAAAAGCCGAGATATAAGATTATCAACGTTTAGTTCACCGTCAGCCATATTTGCTTGTGACTCAACCACCGCCGCAATCGCGTCGAGTTAGTAATTGCCAGATTTTGAATTTGCCAGGGTTCAGTGAAAAGAGTTTCTGAAGATATCCAGTAGAAGTCTTCAGCTATTCTTCAGAATACCTCTACTTCTGAGGAATTTCACTCAGATGGGTCTCTAGTATGGCTGAGTAGGTTTTTCAAATTGCTTTCACTTTTACATTTGCTATTTACATGCCCTCGTCCTACACATAAAAATGCCAGAAACACATGTTATTTCGATTTATAATTATCAACAGTAGCAGCTCTGAACATGCAAAATACGGACCATCAACACGACTGTCCAGCGCATGCGAAACTAGCCTGTAGAGCCCACAGCATAAGGTCGGTTATCGCGCACGCCAACGACATGATGCCCGAGCCACCAGTCGGGAGCTTCGCTGCGCTGAAAAACAGGCAAGGCTATCGAGAGCTCTCAATGCCTATCGAGGGGTCGATCTTGCCTCTGCAGAGAGCCGCATTTTACGAGAACCTCAGTGGGTTTTTTTCTTGTCTCGTGTCGTTCTTTTTGTTTGCTAGGTTCTCAGCGTCGGCACAAATCATCTCACATGGGAATGCTTAAATATCTCCGTGACCAGCTAATTGGAACTTGGAGACAATTGAACATTCTCGAGGGAGGAACTGTACACTGATGCCGAGAACCTTGCAAAAAAAGTTCCCAGATCAAACAGACACCTTCACAGTATCCGAGCACTTTCAAGGGTTCACCCTTTTTCAGCCATCATGGCGATAACCTTGCAATACACGGCCAGGCAATATATTTCTGCATCTCCATCGAAACCCACCAGAGACAAAAACAAAAGCATTCAGATCAGCGTAACAGCACAAACGCGTGTAGCCATAACGTAGCCCAACAGCATGGCGCATCCGCATGAAAACAACAGGACGACGTATCTCAGTAGATTTCCTCATTCCACAGCAAAACGACGCGTCTCCATCGACATACGCCGGAGACGCGTCACAACACAATGTCGTGTCTTCGGAACACAGCACAGCAGAACGACGCAACGCACAGCTGGATGATCCATTCCATATCAGACCAATGCATTCTACAACAGAGTAACGCTTTGCATGATAGAGCCACGCATCTACATTGACATACCCTGACATACCAAAACTTCCAAATCAGCACTGCAAACAAAATTGTGTACTTATAACACAGCGCAACAGAACAACGCGTCTTAATCAAAACGATAGACGATATTCCACAGCAAAGCGACACATCGCACAGCAGTACGACGCATCTCTCGATGTACTCGTGAGGTCAGGTTTCCAAATCAGCTACAACACAAACTCGCGTCAACTATCAACGACGCTTCAGCGCCGCACTCACTGGACGTGCGTGTCATCGCTTCCGATCGGCAAGCTTCTTTGTGCCCCCCCCCCCTCCCCCTCCTTAATGTTCCGTCTTCTGGTCAGAGCCCAGTGCGACCTGGGAACAACACCGCAATTGCGCACCTGCAGCATGACATGTTGCAGGTAGGCGGGCGCGGGTGGCGCTCGACCAGGCCCAGTGGTTGAGCGAAGAATGTGTATGACACCACCTGCAGCAGAACGACCGCCACTATCTTCTACGCCTCCACCACCGTCATCTCCTCTGCCTCCACGGCAAGGCGGCCTCCAGCCAGGCCACTAGCTTAGACTGCCGGTTGTCGACCTCGACAGCTTGGGACTAGGGCAGGTAACACCGATACCTGGGGCATCACTAGGGCATCACCGATGTGTCCAGAGCAGCCGCATCTAAGGAAAAGCCCAACAGCAAGCCGATAAAAGCAGGATGGTAGTAACATTTGATCACCCATTCCCAGCTTAGACATGAGCGGTTACAAGGGTGACATCCAGGATTGAACACTCGCCGTGGGTGTCGTGCGACGGCGGTGCCAGAGGGACAAGGTGGTAGCCAGGGGCAAGGGATATATCACAATATGTGGTATATACGTCACCACCGCTACCAGGGGAGGGGAGACGACGACAAGCAGTGGGTGTCAGGAGAACCCTGCTCCCCCCCCCCCCCCCCCCGGCAGGCACACCAGCTCCATGCATTAATCCATAGTAACCAGATGAGCCACGATTCACAATCCAGTGAGCCAGCGAGAGCCAGTTAGAAGAGCAAGCAGGGAATACACGATGAATATTTTTGCTGCCATAGAAATAAATATCTACCTCATTCTAGAAATGGGTAAATCACTCATTCACATCAGTACAGCACAACATGAATCAGCCTCGGAAAAAACGGCCGAAATTTCCTGGTCAGGACCTGAAAGACTTCCGGCCCAGCCCGGTGTCCCCAGCAGCTGCCATTCTGGCGAAACGGGGACCGCGCCCTCTGGTCGACCCGGAGGCCGTCAGAGGAATACATCATGCACTGCACGCGTCCCCTACCTGGTGCGACAGGTCTTCCGACCGGGGCACTTGACACTGGATCGACGCAGCGGCCCTCACTGATGCAGACAACCCATTACTGGCGAAGAAAGTCCAATAATTGACGCTGCGACACCGATTCGGCTTATCGGCTCGTGGTTGAAACAGTGCAGGGGACCCTCGCTCGGTACTGTGGCCTCTGACACAGGACATTTCCATTATATCAGTGTGAAAGTGAAACTTTGCATAGTCATTTCACATTTGACTTCATTGTGAAACGGCCCCGAACCAACGCCAGAGGCCTTTTGACATTTGGGGTCCCGTCGCCGTCCCTGCTCAGGAAATGTGCCCCTGGTCGACTTTGGGCCCGTTGTCGACACAGGGTCCTCTGTTAGGCGCTGTGGTCCCCTGACCTGCATAGGTGGCCCTTCACCGTTTCAGGGGACTGACCAATGCAAGAGGCCCTCTGATTGACATTTGCAGGCCTATCTTTGCCCCTGCTTGGGACATGGCCTCTTGGGGCCTAGAACGGCATGGAATCAACTGCTAGTGGTCCCAGTTAGCTGATATGAGACCCCCACTGCCTCGGGGGCCCGCGTGCGGTGCAGCAGATTCTCTGAACTGATATTTCAGGGTCAGGGCTGGGCTACCTTGGATATGACCTCTGGCCTGCCCATTTGACCCTCCGATCGAGCCCTTCGTCGTGGACCCCGTAGGCGTTAGTATATTATTTCCCCTCAAAAATAAAGACTTGGAACCTTTTGTGGTGCTCTGGAATTTGTCGTCACTTGAAAAGAAAGTTTTGCTGCCCTTTAAGGTGCCCTCTGGAATCGGGTGCCTCTTGCAACTCAAGATCACCATACCCCAAAAGGAAAGCTTTTGAGGCCCTGCACCGAGGGAGCTAAAAATTGTGTTGCCCCTATATTTGGTGTCACCTGGAATCAGGCCTCTGCGACCCTTTGAATGTCCCGCTTCAATTCGATACTTTTAGAGAACAAATACCACGGTACCTTGAATTCAATGTTTTGGTGCTTTTTCGCCGAATGGACGTCCAAGGATTTAGTCAATGGAAAGACACGGGCATAATGGTGTCCCTTGGAGCTTGTTACCTCTTGAAAATGAAGTCCTTGACGCTCGTTTTGGCGCTGCCTGGAATAAGACGACCGTGGATAATAAAATTGAGGATGCCCTGAAACGGAGGATTTAGGGTCCCTCCAGCAACCGGACAAACCCAGCATTTTGTCAGGTTGAACGGTAAAGCAATAACGGCCCCCTGGATTTCAGTCTCCTTAAAAATGAAGGACTTTGTGCTCCTCAGATAGTCCCCTTCAATTTGGTGTCTCATGAAAATAGACGTCGTGGCACCCAAAAATATTTCATTTAGAAATCCAAGGGAAAGAAAGCTTTGGTACCCCCTCTTCCAAGCGGCCGATCCGGAAATTCGTCTCGGTGGAGAACGGAACAATATTGTGCCGCTGGAATCTGGTGCCTCTCGATAAGAAAAGTTTGGGACCTTGGTGGTGTCATCTGGAAAGGAATACACTCGAAAGAATGTGATCGTGCCCCGAAATAAAGGTGTTTGTGTCTGGTCAACCTGTGATCTTAGTGTTTAAACTCCTCCGCCTCAAGGCAGCGAGACCTCGTTGGGCTTTGATGGGGCAAGGCATGCCTCATGCCCCTGCCATGCAGATAACCATATCACCGTCTTTGTGTAAGGCATTTAATGACGTAAAATGAATATTGGTACGGGGAGATAACAAAATTGAACTGACCGAGAAAACAATAAATTATTCACCGCTCAGTTGGTGGTCCCCGTCGCAGTACTCCTCTAGTTTTGGCGAGAGCCCCAGCGCTGCTCCGTGTCCGCTGTCGCTGACCTTCGAGCCGTAAACCCTGCAGAAATATTGAGCTCGCAATGAAAAGCGTAAGCTTGCAAAACCATAGTCAAGAAGCTAGTTCCAACAGGAATCGCAGAAGGAGTTTTCGGACACAGTAAGATCGAACACAGGATTTGACAGCCTGTCTGTAAGACAGCGTGTTGGCAAAGCACAAAACTCTTAGCTCGCAGCCTTATGTAAATGACTTCTATTCACGTTTGGCCTGAACCTGTTTGATGTAATGTTAAGTATTGTAAGTTTATGATGAAAAATGTACACGAAGTACAAAACATGAGCCATGTCATAAGTTTAACATCTTCCTGATTCTTCCAAACAGAGACACAGCCGGGGGGCGGGCCTCTGTCTCAGGCCCAGATTTTTCAATTTCTACTTCAAATGACAGAAGGCTGCCGAAAAAAGTGAGAAAAATCGGCGGGATACGTACTCATTGATCCCCGGGCTCCTGACAAAATCAAGGCGGCGAATTTGCTCCCAAGCATAGCAATATAGGTGACTGAGCGTAACTTGGTTCACCTGTTAAATTGTGGAGACCGACCCACCACCCCTCAGATCCACCCATGCCCCGGGCAAAACGGATGCCTTCCTCAATTGGGTCACAATCAGCGCATCTCCGGGCGTCCCCTCGTCCGGTTTGACAATTCTTGCAAACTGGGTCAACCATATCACATGCCCTCCATCCGATTTTTGAGCGACGCTCCGGCCATCAGCCAACCAGTACAGTGCGT